GTATTTCAGCCGTCCCGCCTGGTTTCCCGGGACCTTCCTAATTGCATATTCTAAGGCAAAGTTGAAAAGGATTGGCGATAAAGCATCTTGTTTTAGACCATTCTGGATAGGAAATTTATCAAACAAATGTTTACCTACACGGACTTTACTATATGTTTCGTTTAAACACATTTTAATCAACCTAACTAGTTTCATGGGTATCCCAAACTCTATCAGAATATTGTACAATACTTTCCTCCTAACTGAATCGTATTCTTTCTTGAAGTCTATGAATAGCTGATGTACTGTCTCATCGTACTCCTATTTTTTCTCCAGTATCTGACGAATGCAAAAATCTGATCTGTAGTTGATCTGTTATGTCGAAACCCACATTGATGATCCCCAATAATTTCATCTATATATGGACTTAACCTTGAAAGAAGAATATTGTACAAAATTTTATATGAAGTTGATAGCAGTGATATCCCCCGATAATTACTGCAGTCAGTTTTATCACCCTTCTTGTGAACTGGTACAATAATAGACTCTTTCTACTGATTAGGCAATTTTTCCTCATGCCAAATAGAAGTAATTAGATTGTGGATCTTAGAACGTAATATTTCGCCTCCTGCTTGAATAAGTTCTGCTGGAATTTGATCACTACCTGGCGATTTATACCGTTTCAATTTTGCAATAGCAATTTCAACCTCAAAGGGGCTAGGATCAGGTATTAACGGTTCTGCTGTATCGATTTCTGTCTGCCTAACATCACTGGCCCTATGTACATTCAATAACTGAGAGAAGTAGTTTCTCCACATATTCAAAATGTTGTGGGAATCTGCAAGCAGATCACCATTCTCATCCTTCACTAAGTTACTGCTAAGTTGGTAACCCCTCTTAAAGTCATTTATTCCTCTATACAGGTCTCTAATATTCTTGTTCTTACTGTTCATTGAAAGCACATCAATTTTGTCTTTCAGATATTCCCTCTTTTTGTTCCTGAAATGCCTGCTGGTTTCACGTCTTATATTGTTCAGATTATCCCCATTTAACTCGTTTGGATCCTGAAACCAATGCAATTTGGCCTGCTTTCTTTGATCTAATAATTTTGAGCACCCTTCATCGAACCATGGCTTATGCTTCTTCGGTTCATAATAACATAGACTCTCTTTGGCAGACATTTTTTATATTTATGTACTTTATTTGAAATAAACTTATTTACTTGTGCTTGTATACAACTTCCCGTTACTTTTAACATTTATATAAAGGATTCGAAAACCAGAAGTGACAAATAACGGAGTTCACGGCGTTAGGCCGTAACTCAGACAGACCAAATAGATGAAGGTTGTGCAAGAAAGAGTAGGGTCATAAAGTAGACGGTTAGTATACCGCCCGTTGGTTTGTACGGACGTAGCTCCACTTCGTATCCTGCAGAGATTTCGATGCCAGAATTGGACATTACTGCAATTCATAATGCAGGCAGACCAGCCCTCGGCAAATTATACAAATCAAGATCAGCTTGGGGAAGTAAACTAACTTGGTCGTAAATTTTATGCTGTGGACATAACATTGGATCCGATGTTACTCATACACTCCTAGAGACAAACGTGAGTTCCTTCTATATATTAGCGGATCTACAGCCGGAAGGTCGCGGGTTCAAGTCCCGAGGAGGTCATTGGATTTCTTTCAGTTGACCTAATCCTTCCAGCCGCACTAGGCCCTGGGGTTTTACTCATCCTCTAACAGAAATGAGTACCAGGAATTAATTAAATAATTTTCCTGGGAAGTAAAGTGCGGCCGGCGCGTAAGGCTGACAACCATACCGACTTCTTTGAGCCGATTGTCTAGAATAGGTAGTGTGGGACCCTCAACGTCTCACGGCCTAGTACAGGGATAGTATTCCTTTTTTTTACAGTCAAGTAAAATAAGTTTGAGTTCACTATGCACCGACAGCAGACGTTTGTTTGGTAGAGCATGACCCAATTTTGGAACACTCGAACTATCGGAGAAAAATGCTGACTTCTATTTTTATAATTTCAAGAGTTTGGACGGGATTTTGGAACTTTATAAAACACACGAAGGATACGGTAAGAGTGATTCTAATGCCAAGTTCTTGTTTCGTCTGTCCCCAGTACCCTATTTGAAACAGGTCCACCATTAATACATTAAATGCGTGAGTTCGAAATATTTATAGATTTTAGTGTGTTGGTACAAAGTCGCTATGTCAAGTTTCTCTTCTGAATAGTCTGAAGTGAAGTTTCACTTTCCTTCCTGGAATTTCCTTTGTGGCTTCATACTCTGGGCGTTTGTTTAGTGTCTCTCCTCCCAGTAATACAGAATGGCTAATGTGTTCGTTTTGTATGTTCTTTTTTGTAGGAGCCAATGGACTCCGCCGCAGAGGGCGGCAGACATACACACGGTACCAGACATTGGAGTTGGAAAAGGAATTCCACACAAACCACTACCTCACGCGGCGACGACGTATCGAGATGGCGCATGCGTTATGCCTCACAGAGCGACAGATCAAAATTTGGTTCCAAAACCGAAGGATGAAACTCAAGAAGGAAATTCAGGCGATCAAGGAATTAAACGAACAGGAGAAACAAGCGCAGGCGCAGAAAGCTGCAGCTGCTGCAGCGGCGGCGGCGGCGGCAGTGCAGCAACAACAGCAAGGAGGCGGCGAACCGAACTAGGAGTCGGCGCACCACGCTACCTCTGGGGCGTCGACATCACCATGGTCACACCATCAATTGCAAGGTAGGCCTAACGCCGTTCCCCAGGCTGCCAGATGCTGTTATGTTAACAAACAATTGTTACAGCCTTAAAGTTGTAAAGGACTAAATGTTTGTTGTCTCGAGAATCGAACTACCGCTTAGCCGAGAATTCGGCAATGGATCTAGGGCAGGGGTTATTTTTTTTAAATGTTTTCGCCACCAAGGAATTTGATTTTTCCCCCTGTTTATTCCGAAAAGAAGGAAGTGTATATATAAATATTCTGCACCCAACGTAAAGTTTCTTACTGTTGTTTCTAGTATGCGCAAATCTCCGCAGTTCCATCAGATAAGTGGTACTTAGTCTCTTTATATGGCATAGTGCTTTGCGTGAGAAATGTTAGCGATCAATCGCACTTTGTGATTGAGAGAATTCAAGTGACGCATGATGTAATTTCATTAGAAGTAAGCATAAATATGGCACAGTCCAGATATTTGGGGACGCCTACAACAAGTCAGAACCCGATTCAGGAGAAAATTAAGAGGGGATTGAACTCTGGTAATGCTTGCTACCATTCAGTCCAGAACTTCTTCTCGTCTGATGTCTAAAAACATAAAAATTAGAATACACAAAACTATAATTTTCTGTATGGGTGTGAAACTTGGTCTTTCACATTAAGGGAGGAACGTAGACTGAGGGTGTTGAGGAGAGTATTCGGAACGAAGAGAGATGAAGTGACGGAGAAAACTGCATAATGAAGAGTTTCGTAACTTGTACCTCCTTTCCAAGTATAATTAGAATGATATAAAGTCAAGGATAGGATGGGAAAGGAATGTAGCACAAATGTTGAGAAGGTGAATGCATATAGGATATTGGTGGGAAAGCTAGAAGGAAAGAGACCACTGGAAGACCAAGACGTAGGTGGGTGGACAATGTTAAAATGATTTTCAGTGACTGCATCCTGTTGTGTATCATATATTGTTTGTTACTGAAAACCGTCAGATTCAGTAACGAGAAGTTTAATGTATTTGCCTGATTATGGCCTTTTGAAGGCCGAAACATATAGCAAAGGTATCTCCTAGAGCTACGTACACGTATTATCGCGTGTTGTGTTGCAATGGTTTTCAGTAAGAAATAATATTAAAACGAATCTTAGAGGGATGGGATGGTATGGTTTGGACTTGTCTGGCTCATGATAGGGCCAGTAGAGGGCTCTTGCGAACACGGTAATGAACCTCCGGGTTCCAGAAAACGCTGGAAAGTTCTTGGGTAGCTGCACAAGTGGCAGCTTCTCAAGAATAGCTCAGCTCCAGGAGTGAGTGAGTGATTAGTAAGCATAGATCATTTAAATTGTCACACTAATTTCGCCGACAAGCGGCGGTCGCTCGGTCGGTATAGTTCGCTTGCGGACTGAAGCCACGGAGTTTATTTTTTTAGTTTTTTTTATACTGCACTCAGCTAAACTTATCCTTCATAGGGTTCATCTCACTGATTGTTCGTGTATAGGATCGCACAGGAATATCAACTGTTGATATCCTCTTGCTGAGGAATGTGTATATCTGTGTGACAAAAGAGAGTACCGTCTGTTCTGTCTGACGTTCTGGCACACTGCTTTGGTTCATGGCACTTGCTGTGGATGTCTTCTGTAATCTCAAAAAATTATTTGAAATAAGTGGGAAGTGAGAGTCTTAATTTCTAAGTCAACAAAATGTGTCAGAGTACTGCCCGTCGTCCACGAGACTGTACAGAGATGAAAGAGGCAGCTGTTTCTCCACAGATGAAGGTGTGGGAAACCCTTTCATTGAAGACTGAATATCTTATTTAATTAATCGCCGTCTCTGTACCTCGAGTTCATCTTTTGCCTGGGCATTCGAGTTAATAGAATTTCTTGCACTTCTTCCGTCATTGAAATACTCTTAGAAACGTTTTTAATTAATTGTCCTGTAGCAACTGCAGCCAATAAAGTCAGTACAACAGTAAAGCCAACAGAATTTTTTTTAATTTTCTGAAGAAAATCATTGTCTACCCATAGTGTAGAGAACATTATTGTGGCGTGTAGACTCGTTGCTTGGGAACGACTGAGAAATAAGCAGCTATAGAGCAGTCGTTGCTAAATAATGGGTCAGTAACAAACGCCGTTACTAGGTAGTGGCCGCAACAGTCGCATGCAACAATAGAAGTGTTGTTGGAATTTGTGTTCTCTGTGAGGTCCGTACCGAGGCTATATAACGAGGGTCATCTGCCATTAGAGTAGAGTCTTCAGACGGCAGTTAGAAGAGTAGGACGTTGGTGTGAGATGAGCACCAGCCTGCGAGGACGTGAGCCCGGGATTACGGGGGAAGTGCACTGGGGAAGACACAGCAGACAGACGAATTAGTATATGAATTAGCGGTAGCGCTATAGATATTTGTAGTTACGTTTATTAAGTGTTCAGTAAATCAAATTATCAACCCAAACCCCGTCTATAGTCACGCATATTCGTGACAATATTAATCTCGTTATGGTGGCACACTCTTGACATTTTTTGAGACAAGTTATATACTCAGGCCACAACATTGATATGAATAAGCGTACGATGTCAAGTTGAAATCTGTGTAAGGACGATAGATCTACCACATGCTTGTCGATCTTATATCAGGATATTAAATAATTTAGTAATAATCCATCGAATAAAGTATAACAACATATCTTAATATAAATATATTTTGAATATTATATTCTGTGCAGGTATTATTTTTATCATGCATTGCATATATTGTTGTGTGATAACAATATGTCGCGTCGCGCAGTCTGTTCTGTGCTGGCTGCGGTTTCTGCGGGACAATGAACAGGCAGTACGGCATTGGGCTATGTGTTTTACATCTTAAGCAACTCACATGATACGCCGTGTTAGGTGCCGGCTTCCCTCTGCGGCGGCCCAGGTTCGAGACCGCGTCAGGTCATGTTGGATTTATGGTGGACAAATTAGTACTGGGACAGTTTTTCTCCCAGTATTTCGGATTCCCCTGCCAATTCGCATTCCACCGACTGCTCCACAATCATCATCGTCATCTATCGTCTGGGGCTGGTACAATAGTTAAAACACTTGCCGCTGTACCAAGTGGACTCAGTCTCACTCCATGAGGAAAATAAAAACTCAAATGATGTTATCCTACAGATTAAATAGTAGTTGCGTCAGTTGGACTGAAAATTTTAATTAAGACTTATTTTAACTAATATAATTGCGTTTAAACATGCTACATTATATTTACGTTCCACACTACACGGAATAGATGTCACGTAACTTCGAACAAGGCCGAGAGTAACCTTGAATGCGCAGAAGAAAAATTTCTGACAAGGGGGTGGGTTCGAGGGTGTGAGAAGTGACAGGCGGCCAGTTGTTTGTACAACTAGCCGCCTGTCACTTCACTCTAAAGGCCAAACAGCAGTAATTTGTATTTGGCGCAGCGCTACTAAATGAATATAATTGTTCCATTGCTCACTTTCCGAAACTGTCTTTCACGATGTAATATCAATACATTTGCAGATTTCCAGTTGTTATCCACATTATTATAAAGAATGCGCCAGCGAAATATTTCTAAAAATTAACGTTGTGTGGTAGTGGAAATGAAGGTTCAGTATGTTCAGGAAGTTCTAGTCCGAGGATAGACCACAAGCTCGACTCCAACACTGATGTTAAAGAGCTTTATCCTTTAAATCTTCAAACTTAACTAAGACGTAATATCAGCTGTGAGTTGATATTTATTATGAGGGTCCATCGTAGAGCCCTCTGATGCATTCTTGAATATTCATCTGGTAGGATTTGAGCACAGAAAATATTCATGTCTTACTTTCTTTGTGAGTTTATCTTCGTTCATATTTTTTTCTGGGAATACATTATGTCCAAAAGAAGTAAAGTGTAGTAATTTTTTTGTGCCTGAATTACACTGCGCGCATAATAATGTATATGCAATTTTCTATAATCGTCTGTCGTGTAAATTTGTCTTTTACTTCTTTCTCCGCTGACGAATATTTAAATCGTTTTATGCCCATATAATTTGGTGTAATTCAAACGGCCTGCATCTTGAATATGTAAAAAGGGGCTCTAATTATGTACAGAGATTTTGTACTGTTCAGGCCATAATTGTTCGACGTTGCAACAAAATTTCTTAACATTCACATCATTTCGAAAAATGCCAGATTGTGTATCTGGAATATACGTGCCTATATACCTCGCTAAGTTACAGATATCCCTAGTGAATTAGTAATATTTTGCATTGTTCTTTAAACAATATTTCATTAGTGGTTTTTGTATGATTGGTCAGTGATCTATGCTAAGTTATACCGACAATTGATCTAGCGTATAGATGTGTAATATGTTACGTTATTTTCAACTGAATATATGTTTCTAGAATACAACTTTCGTTTATTTTACTGAAGATAGCGCGAGTGCTTACTCTGAAGTACGATGCGACCTGAACTTTCATTTCCCGTTGGAAGACATAGCCATTTTATTCCGCACGAAATCGAGCAATGAAGAAGCAGTTCCATATATCAGACAGAATAATAATATATGTATATATATATATATATATAAATTAATGAATATGTCTATATATAAATTTATATGTCTATGTAATGAATAAGCATTGCAATGAGATATACAAAATGTAACCAATTCATTAGATGAGAGTTCTCCTTTTAAAGCTAACATTCGCTCAGATGTTGAAGAAATTCTTCGCCTTTTATGAAACCCCAATGCTATTATCTTGTTTGCCTTTGCTAGTCACTGGACCGCATCCTGAACCAGATGGATTCATTACACATCATTAGTCGTAACTCCTTAACATCACTTTTAATATTATTCTCCCGTTTTGTCTTTTCTTTCTAACTTTTTCAGCTAAACCTCAATATGCAGGTCTCTCCCCCCCCCAGACATGAGTTCCATGCTTACCTCAACCTTCTTTAAGTGATCCTCATAATAATACTTAACGAAAAATAAACTGAAACTCCTCGTTCAGTTTCCTTCTGTTGTCTCTTCTTTTCTTAATCCAAATGTTTACCTC